AAGACAAATGATGCAATATCAGGTACTGTACTCTTGAAGACAAGGTTTCGTGAGGAAGGAACTTACCTGTTTTGGTTTACACTGGCACCTAAACATCCAGCACAGTGCCTGTTTATAGTATATGTTCATTTTGACTTGGTGAATAAACAAAAGGGAAAATGTGGGATTCAGGAGAGACTGATTTGTTGACTTCTTTTTTGCTGTGCTGGGGATCAAAGCCAGAGCCTCATGCATTCTTGGCAAGTGCTGTACTACTAACCTACATCTCCAGCCTTGAGACTTGGTTTTAATGACTTCAATTTTGAAAACAGAATATTGAGTTTCTATTGATAAGATAGGAAATGTCTGAGAGAGGTAGTTTCCCTTTATTAGTTATTCAGATGTTCACTGTTATAATCAAAGCTAAGATTAGCAACCCAGAACACTTGAGGTCTGCTGCACACTTACCTATATTGTTGCTCTTTTTAAGGAGTTTCCTCTTTTTGACCATAAAAGCAATACATGTTGGGCTGGGGGTATACCTCAGAACACAAGCTTAGCAAGTACAAGGCCCTGAGTTTGATTCCCAACACACACACACACACACACACACACACACACTAGAAGATATGTCTTCCGTAGAACTTCTGGAAATGTTGAAAAATTAAGAAGAAAACAAAAAATCCCTAAAATCCCAGTGTCCACTGAGTTCTTCCTTCTTGGAGTTTCCGTTTTCTTCCCAGTCTATTGTACTATTTTAGTACCAACAGAGGCTGGTGCAAAAAGGACTCAGGTGGGACCTGCCTGGGACAAGGTGTTAGAGAACCCATTTTCTCTTGAAGCCTTATCTATAAATATTTCCTTGGGTTTTTCAGGAGGTGATTTCTCTCCTACTCCCTACACCTGTGGAGTATGGCCAGTCTTTCCTTCAGGACAATGAGTTGACATGAGAAGGGCATGGAACAAAGGAGAATATAACTTCCTGAATGACATCGTTTCTGTCATTTAAATACTGATTTCACCTACTCTTTTAGAAACACAAGTTTGTTTAGAATGGTTCTTCAGAGCCATTTTTGCACCCACATTATGAACAAATGGATCTATGATCCTCGAGAGAAGGATAGTTGCAAGTGGTTATTACCAGTTACATCTATTCATGCTGCTCTGGCACTTTTCTTTTCTTTTCTTTTAATGGCTGCATCTCTGTTTGCTCAAGGTCTGTTCACAAAAGACAGTCCCCATAATTTTTTGTCATTTTCCAAAAATTTCTTAGTGGAAGATTTGCATCGTCTGCCTGGAGAGACAGAGATGGAAGTCTAGCAGTATCTGTGCAAATGGCTGCCAGATGTCCCAGAGCAGATAGAGGTGCTGCTGTCTTCAGAATGAAAAATGCTGGAAAATGTTGCCAAAGCACCCAAAGTCTAGCTGATAATACACATCTCCCAAGAACTTGCTTAAAGACCTAGAAAACACTGTCAATCTAAAAACCAAACAGCTCTTCCCAGAAACAAACCTCCTACATCTCAGTTTTCTACCCCAACACATGAATCTTCTTTATTATACTTTCAAATCTCATTAGGATGGTACACAGAAAATACCCCTTTGGACCATTTATTCCCTCCTTCAATAACCATTACAGAGCACAATAGGTATAATGCATCAAATCCCAAACACATCACATCCAAAGATGAACTTGTCACCCCCCCCCCCACACACACACACACACACTTTGATTCCAACTCAAGACTTCATCCTTTCTTAGCCATATTAATCTCCCTAATGCACAAGATGAAAGACAATTGCTTGTGTGAATGGGAGAGAAAGAATCCTATTCAACTTGGGAGCCCATCTTTAAGGTCTTCCACTGTTCACAGAAAGGTGGAGGCAGGGCAGGAGTATAGTTTTGGAATAATGCAGACTTTTTCAGACAACAATGCAAGGTGAGTGACAATATAGTTGGGTCATGAAAGCATACAGTAAGAGATTTCGAGACTGGATGGAAAGAAGGCCAGGAAGATTTTCTGCACAGTGTCTGGACCAAGTACATGATTCATGAATGAAATGGGCCTACCTATGGGCTGGGGATGTGACTCAAGTGGTAGCGCGCTCGCCTGGCATGCGTGCTGCCCAGGTTCGATCCTCAGCACCACATACCACATACAAACAAAGATGTTGTGTCCGCCAAAAACTAAGAAATAAATATTTAAAAAATTCTCTCTCTCAAAAAAAAAAAAAAAAATGGGCCTACCTACATGGAGGAGCAGGGCTGGGTTTTACATAAGAGCAGAGGCCCAGTTTTGTCAATTTCTAAATGTATCCAGGGAATAACAACATTTGGGTTGTGTCCTGGCACTAAGGTGGAAACAGAGTGTGGGGATCTTGATTATTTGGCAGATGGTGAATGTCTAGAAAAACCAAGTCTAGGAATATAGAAATCTATTAATGCCTGCACTTCTTAATGAAGCGTTGGTGATCCTGTGAATGGACAGCTCTTACAGAGGCAAAATGGATTTAGAAAATATTATGGTAGATCAGCTGAGAGATAAAAAAGAAAAGCTGTAATATTAAGGGTTATAAAGTAGATAATGGGTGAACCTGAAAATAAAACTTGGGATTTATTTTGTTTGTTCTTTTAACAAATAACTGAATACATTTCTCTTGTCTTAAACAAACAAAGCCAAGTGCAGTGGTACACACTTGTAATCCAGATACTTGGGAGACTGAGGCAGGAAGATCCTAAATTCAAGACCAGCCTGGACAACTTGGCAAGAAACTCTATCTCAAAATAAAAGTGTAAAATGGGTTGGTGGTATAGCTCAGTGGTAGATTGTTTAGCTAGAAGGCACAAGGCCTTGGGTTCCATCCCCAGTACCATGGGGATGGAAAAGAAAAAGAAACAAGGAAACTTTCATCCTGGAGTTTTTCCTGGTATTCTCACAACTTGCCTGGAAAATTTATCCTGCCTGTCTTCCCCTCTGCAATCCACAGAAAAACTGGGCTTCTGCCTTCACCATTCCAGCTGAGGTGCAGGATGAGCTTCCAGATGCTCAATCTATCAGTTTTTAATTTTTAATATTTAAAAAATTTTAATAGGCACATACTTGGTGGACATATTTATGGGGTACAGTATGACATTCCACTTCATGTATACATGTATAAAATGTGTGATAAGGTCAAGATAATTGGTGTATCCATCACTGCCAACTTTTATCATTTCTTTGTGTTGGGAATATTCAATACTCTTTACTAGCTATTTTGAGATGTACAATTAATTGCTGTCATCCAACAGATGCAATTTCCATTTCTTACCCCTCTGTACCTTCAGCACTGGACAGGGACGATCATTTTTCCAGAGCTCTTTCTCTACCTCTTCTTACCCTCAACCACTTATTCCTTTAACACCTGTATTCCTTGTTGTTTTTTGTTTGTTTGTTTGTTTTAGCTCCTCCAGAAGCTGTGCACTAATGACTCCCAGATTTCCATCTCCTCTTAGCCAGCTCTCCTGACTCTATAGTTTACCCAACTGCCTCCTAGACATCTTCACTTATTTGTCCCAGAGGCAGCTCAAACGCTACAGGTCTGAAGCAGAAATCATCCAGCTGTGTGACCTTGGGCACTTCAGTTAACTGCACTGGGCATTACTTCTACAACAAAGGCATTACTGATAGCCACCTGACAGAATTCTACATCAGGTACCCTGGCACACAATAGGTGACCTACAAATGTTAACCATTTTCCCTCAATCCTACTCCTTCCCATAAATTCTAGATGTCTCATAAACCTCTCATCCTGCCATTTGTTAAGCCAGAACCCTGGGCATCCTCTTTTACATCCTCCTTTCTTCTTCTTCTTTTGTTGGGTGGTGGTTACTGGGGATTGAACTCAGGGGCACTTGACCACAGAGCCACATGCCAGCCCCCCCCCCCCTTTTTTTTTTGTCCCACTAAGTACCTATGTCTCTTCTCTGCTGGCCACCACGCTTTCTCTGCCTCTGCTCTTGCTACTCTACACCATTCTTCAGAGAGAGAGCATTGCATGACACCACTCTCTTTTCAGTGGTTCCCCACCCCCTGTCTTTGGAAGGACAAAGGCTCCTCAGCACCTCGTCTTAGTCACTAAATTTCAGCTGGTCCTCCTTCATGGGAAGGTGATCACGCAGTTATAAGCAGGCTCCCCTTGGCTCAGAGGGTCCTCTCCTGACGCTACCTCTCCTTTCATCATGGGTGCCACTTCCTTTAGGAAGTCTTTCTGGACTTCTAGTTGGATAAATACGTTTCTTCTCTGCTTCCCAGGGCCCCTGTGTTTTATAACACTTTCCTCAACTTGCTTGTCCTTTCCACCAAACTGGGGTGTCTAGCAAACAGTAGGAGGAAAGTGAATCAGAGCAGAGTTTCCGCCGAAAAGGAAACTTGGTTTGAGGAACCAACGTCAAGGTGTCCGGAATACACTCCTCCCGCGGCACAAGAGGTTGCTTTATGCCTGCGTGGGTATCCAGAGCCTGCACGTCCTTCCCGGGATTTCTATCGCTCAGAATTAACCCGAGGGCAGGCACAGAGCTGCACGGGAAGAGGGTCCCTCACCGTCCCCAGCAGTGCGCACCGGAGATTGTAAATTCGGGCGAGGTTAAATTCGGAGCCCTTTGTTCGAGGCAGCGGCGAGCCGTGCCTGCCCGCCCCGGCCCAGTGCAGGACTCGCCTGGGCACAATGGCACAAAAAAACGCACCCGGTGAGCGCCGCGTCAGGCGGGGGCGCGCGCGCGCACCAAGGCCGGCTCAGCGCCAGCCTCGAAGCCCGGGAACTCGCGCTCCCCGACGCCCTCGCCAGGCCCGGCCTCGGTGCTAGGCTGCTTCCCGGGCCCGCGGCCGCTGCCGGCGGGAAAGCGCCCGGCGTCTCGTCGTCACGCGCCGGCGGCTAGGCGCGCGGCGCGGGCGGGGCGGGGCGGAGCGTGGGCGGGGCCGGCGCGGGCGGGAGGGGCGGGGCGGCGCCGGGCACAGGAAGCGCTGGGAGGCCCGAGCCGTCCCAGGGTGCCCCGCGCGGCGTGGACTCGGGACGCTGCCGCCATCCCGCTGGCGAGAGGGAGAGAGAGGCCCGCCCGCTCGCCGGCTGGACTAGTGTGGGCCACTGCGTGAGGGCGCGGGGGGCCGTGTCAGTGAGACGCAGAGCGCAGCCGCCACCCCCGAACGGACATGTTGGAGCCCAGCGCCGCCGCCGCCTCCTTTTCCTCATCCAGCAAACGGGACTGAGAAGGGGCCCGCCACCCCTCCGCCGCTGCCTCTGCTCGGCCGCTCGCCTCGCCGCCTCGGCCACAGCCCCTTCCTGCCCGGCCTCGGGCTCCGCAGCTCGTCGCCTTCCCCGCCCCAGGCCCGGCCAGTTCCTCGGCCCCGCTCCGCCGCGGCGCGAGGTCTATGTGACCGGCGGGCCCGGAGCAGCCGCCGCCGCAGCGCGAACATGGACGCCGTCAACGCCTTCAACCAGGAGGTGAGAGCTGCTCGGGGCAGGGGTGCGGGCCCGCTGCGGGAGCCGGGGCCCGCTTCTCCCGCCGCCGAGGTTTGAAGCTTTGGTCGGGGTGGGGACGCTTCCTGCCCGGGTTCCGGGGCAGCGGGGCCTGCGCGGAGCGGCCTGGCCCGGGAGAGGTCGCGGCCACCACGGGAGCTGACCCACACCCCTCCCCCACCGCCCACCCGGCGGCGACCCGAGCTGCCCCCTCGCCCCCTTCCGGCCTGCCCTGCCGACGTCGGCCCGCTGCCTCCAACTTCGCCCGGTTTGGTGTCCCGGCGTTCTGGCTCCCGGCTCCCAGACCCGTTATCGGCTGCGCGGTGCCGGGAGCCCGTAAGGGTCTAAGAAAGAAGCGCGGGCGGCCGTGTGGGCTTGGGGGCGGGGGAGCTGGAGCTTCTGCCCGTCTGGAGCTGGCGGAGCGGCGGCCTCGGCCCTCCTGTTGCTCAGGCCGCGGCACGTTGGCGGCTGGACTCTGATCCCGGGTCGGGAGGATTTGGAGAAGGTGCTCGTCCCCCTCCTCCGAATGTCACACACTTGGGAAAGGGAGTTAATAAATGGAGAGGGGGTGGTCTCTTACCTTTTCGAGTCTTTAACATAACCGTCTTATAGGCTCTATGGCCCCAAAGTGACACCCAAAAAGTTGAATGGGAGAGCAGAGTATTTGCTCCGCCTTAGTCCGCTTGAAAGCCGGCGTTGGCCTCTAGTTCCCCTCGCTCGCACCCGCCTCCCGAGGTAGTTAATCCTCTACTCTCTTCTGCGGGAACATTTACATCTGAAAACCTCCCCAAACTAGGAACAAAGCTGACTGCTCCTTAAAGCTCTTTAGTTGTATCTCCAATCATCATCCCAGGTGCTCTTTTGGCCAATGGAGTTCACTTCACGTAGTGTATCAGAATGGATTTGGGAGGGGTACTTGACCATTGATGCTTTCAAATGCAACTACAGAATAGAAACTATTGTCGCGGATTGATGTGGATTTTTTTTCTTTTTCAAACAGTACAGCCAACATGGAGGAAATACGATGTAGTAGTACTAGATGTGTTAATGTGGCTTTAAAAACTTGCTGCATCTATCTCACGATAAGATTTTGGTAGTTCATTTGTTACAGTTATTATTAACAGATAAATTCTTTTCCTATTTGTAGTGCAATAATTTGAGACCTTCTAGTTAACACTCGTTAACACTCTAGTCGAGACCATTTATTGCCATGCAAATTATCCTAAAAATTATTTTCTTCACCTATAGATACATAAAATGTTTTAACTACAGTAGTTGCAATTAGGATTGGGCAGTGTCTTGGAAAAGTTTAGTAGTGATGATTTTCAAAATAATATATTATTTACAAATTTTTGGTTGCCAGATAATTTAGGATAATGCTCCAGATATTTCAAGGTTGGACATTAACTTTGTTTCCTGAAGGTAAAATTCCCTGGAATGTCGGCTCCGTGAGGACAGGTGGTTTCTGTTCTTTTCCCTCTTTACTCCCCCACCATAGCAGGTGCCTGACAAATACTTCTTGAATGAATGGAACCTTACACAAATGGCAAAATAGTTGTTAAATGATTTTAAACCCATTTTTTTTCCCAAGATAAAAACTTAACTATTGGATGTTTTTAATGAACAGGAGGAATATTTTGAGAATTCTTAGGATTAGAAGTATTTAATACTACAAATCCCAACATTAAGGACAATTATAATGTATCAATAAAAAATGTGGGGGGTAAAGCATTTCTAATTTTAAGTATTTATGGAAGTTGGCATCAAGCATATTAAACACAGTATATTAACCCTAAAAAAGTGCAATCAGTAGTTGTTGCCTTGGAAAGGCAAAATAACATAGTATTGACTCCTTGAAAGGGGGAAATGGTATTGTGACCTTTTAAATGTGCTAAATAAGCATTCGCTTATCATTGTTTATTTTCCTTTATAAATTTTCATTTCAGTTCCTAGTCTTTATTAACTACAGATTGCATTTATGTTAGGTGTATGTTGTCGGTGTCAACTCTTTTCTGCTAAATGTCAACTTCTACTGAAATTAATCTGACTTTAAAAATTCCTATTTTTGTGCCCTATGTGTATGCTTTCAACTGTTTCTCCTCGTTTATGAAGTATTAATAATTAGTTCCTAGTAATCTCAAATCTCCCAGTTTAATCTTCATTTGACAAGCATTCAAGTGCCTTTTCAGCTGTGTCTGAAATAGTGTGAGAAGGTCTCTGTCATCTAAGTTTAATAGAAGTCACAAGACTTAGATAAGTTTAATCTGTGGTAAAATAGCTGCAAAATGGCCATGGATGATCAGTGAAGGCTTGGGAAGAATCCTCAGTTTAGGATATCAGAAGGTATAGGAAAGTGATCAGAAGGCAGTGGGGCTGAGAAATAGGTGAGTAGAAATTTGGCTCTGGAAGCTTTTAAAAAGTAGGGTTCCTAAAGTAGTTTGGGGTCTGACTTATATCATGTCTGTCTAATGTTTAAGAATTTCATTTTTAGGGTATGAGTAAACATTGAAGATTTTAAAATAGTGGAATGATACAATCAGAATTGTGCTTGATTTGTGGTGATACATGTTGTAGGAAGCAAAGACTTGGGAAAGATTGACGGGTTGAATACCAAAGTAGGAGAGGTAAATAAAATCTGAACTTGGAAAATTTAGTTCAGAATAGGAGGGGAAGAATGCTGGCTAAAGTAATCCAGGAACTTTTATAAGTACCTTCTGCCTCTGCATTCTACAAAGCTGACAGTAATGGTACCATTAATAGTAGAGTAAAACGTTGGAGAAGATGTGTTTGGTATTTTTTTTTTTTTTAATATTAGTTGGAGATGAACACACAGTATCTTTATTCATTTTTATGTAGTGCTGGGGATTGAACCCAGTGCCTCACACATGTGAGGAAAGCACTTTACCACTGAGCTACATCCTCAGCCCCTGTGTTTGGTATTTGAAGAGGTTGAGTTTGAATTGTGAATGGAACAGTCACGTGGATATTTTTGGCAAGCATTTGGACATATAGGACTCAAATTTGGATGCAAGGAAGAGATAGAGGGAGATTTCAGTTAATCACTCTCAGATGTGCCCTGGAGAAAATTTAGAGGGGGAGAGAAAAAAAAGAATCCTTAATATGCGTCTGTGGCATGTCAGGCACTTTATGCATTCATATCTAATTTAATAGGTATGGATGTCTACAGCCATTTACAGGTAGTTACAAATTAGAAAACAATTTTTAAAGAAGTTAAGTAATAATTTACCCCAGGGCATACTGCTAACTAACAACAGAGCTGGGATTTGAATGCAGATCTCTCCAACTTAATTGGTGCCTAAAGATAATATTTTGTACAATTCCAGGGAAGTGGTCATCACAGGTTAAAGACTATAAAAGGTTGCTAATTTTTTTTAGGGTAATAGGATTGGAAGCTTAGGGTTGAATGATGATGAGAGGTAAGGCAATAAGAGGTAGCAAATGTAATCTTTTAGAGGTTTGGTTTTAAGAATGGAAAAGTTGCTCTAAGGATGCAGGGAAAGAAGGTCAGTTAACAGTGTACAAAGCACTGCTACTAGTCAGTTTGTATGTTCATTGAGACTAGGTTTAGCCTTAGTGATGTTCAGACCATTGCTTCCGTGAGATGAAAGTAGAGTCTAAGTATTTTCAGCGAAGGGAATGTAGAAAAGCATAGTTCAAAACAACAAGAGGCAATGGTTAACTTAAAGCAAAATTGTGTATAAAAGAAAAAGGACAGATTGGAAGTATAGATAAAATGTCTATCTCTGATATAGAAGGAAAAGGTGAGGAGAGTGAGGTTATTAGAAACCTTAGAGGACTTTATGTCAGGACCACTATAAAGTGAGTGAAAAAGAATCAGATCAATTATGGCCAATACTTAATTGTATTCTGCTGTGTTTAGGCATTTCTTAATGTAAAGAGTTGGATAAATTAAAACAGTTGATGATAGTTCTATTTTTGTATTTTAAAAAGTTGTAAATTCCTCTTTCATGCCAACTCCAACCCTTCTTACTGTCAGAGGCAATCAAAATAATGATTTGGTGTTAATCTCTATGGAGAGCTATAATTGACATATACTTATTTATATAGCAACTTTTCCCTTCTTAAAACCATATAATGCTGCTTTGCAGTGTAATTGCTGAAGTGTGCTTTTTTTTAAATCAAACATTAATGACTGTAAAGATTTAGTTTATTTTTGCTGATAGACTGCAAAGGACTTTCTTATGTACTTTCTATAGGACAGCTTTTATCAATCTTTTTGGCTTTTGACCCTTTTAAGTTCATAAAAATTAAGGACCACAGAGAGGTTTTTTTTTTTTGTACTGATTATCTATTGATATTTATCACATTAGAAATTTAAGCTGAGAAATGTGTTTATTAAAAAATTAATCATTACATATTAATATAGGTAACATTTAAAAAGCATTTTTTTTTTTTTACTTGTAGGATAGGCACAATACCTTTATTTTATTTATTTTTATGTTGTGCTGAGGATCAAACCCAGTGCCTCACACTTGCTAGGCAAGCGCTCTGATACTGAGCTGCAACCCCATCCCTTAGTATAGGTAACATTTTTAATAAAAAAAATAACATTCCCCATCCAAAAATGAAAAGTGGCTTTATTTGACCTTTTTTGCAAATCTCATTTAAACTTTGGTTTAACAAAACCTGCATCCTTGTATCTCCTTTTTTATTCATTCTCTTGGAATAATACATCAGTTAGCCTCCTGAAAACACTGCTGTATACTAGTGAGAAAATTGATGAAAAAGACATGAAATGTCTTAGTATTAATGTGAAAAAATCTTTTGACCTCCGAGACCCCAGGGGTCCTTGTATTACTTTTTGAGATCTGCTCTGAGATACAGTGCATATAATGCTGCTCTGCAGTGTAGGAAGAAAATGAGTTAATATTCCTTTTTTGTCTTTGAAATCATATATAAATTAAGTTTTATGAATACTTAATTTATTAATTGATTCGGGTCTA